CCCATTTCACACACATATCCGCGCCCAAAACTACAACCACACCCACTCCCACACCCACACCCACACCCATACCCACACCCACACCCGCTGAGTGTCAATTATTGTGACTCATATGTGCCTTCCAGAATCGTGGAAGTCTTACTCTTTTGCTAAATTGACTAGAATGAGTTGTGTAATTCACTACATCTCTAAGGAGTAGTATCTGTTGAATACCATCAACTATCTTATCACACACAGAAGTAAAAATGCTAAGTGACTCGATCAAATTACTTTTGAAATAGTTTATTAGTTTAGAATAATATGGGTTTTCAAAAAGCTCGCGAAGATATTTTTAAGCGTACATTTTGAATCGTTCGAAAAGAGGAGACGGATCCAGGAAAACGTCACAATAGGTTACTTTGTCCTCATCGACTTTTTTCCCAAATACAATAAGTGCCTTGAGGGTGATCGGCTTCTGTTCAGGGTCGTTCTTAACAAAAATAGTACCTTCGATGTGAGCGTACACTCGTTCGGGTAAAACTTCGACATGTTCGATAACGGTTTTCATGCTTGAAATTTGAGCACAAACTTCGTCAAAGTAAGCCACAATCGTTTTGTGTCCTTTCATCGTCGGTACATTGCCGTAATGTACGATGGCATGAGGATAATAAAATTTTGCGATAAAATTTGGAATATCTAATGAGTCGCAGGCTTCGCAATAGGTTCGAACCCAAGCACGTGTATTCTCGGCTTGTTCGGGTGTTATCGTAGTAGGTATCGACATGGAATAAAGTAAACTCGGTCTACGTCGTTATGCTGTCACAAAAAATGAATCAATGAAAAACAGGTTAGATTGCAACACATGGATGTAGATGTGGGTACTGTGGGTGTAAGTGGAAATATCCATACATCTACACCCTCGAAAAAAAAACAACTGACCATAGCAAGTAGATCGGTCATGACAATAGGAAAAACAATGAATTCAAATCATATAGATAAAGCTAGCACTATATTCAATGAATTCCCTTCGGATTGGCTCTATAAATTGTGCTATTGTTCTAATTGGTTGTCCTGGCTGCAGGATTCAAACCTGCATCGAATAGTCACACTCTCAGTAACCACCATTAGTCAAAAAATAGAATTGTACGGCTGAATTCCAGAATGTTGCGGTAAAGGGAAAATGGTATTAAATGGACGTGAAAAAATAGAAATAGCGATGCGAAACGGTCATAGTGTGAGGTTATAAAATGATTCTCTTCTACTTATGAAATTATTACTGATCGATCGTGAAAACGCCTCTGTCGCAACAATTTTATGGATTTCTTATAAGTCAGTTTGAGAAATTGTTCTGTGGCCATTTTGCATCGATATTTGTATTTTTTAATAGTAACTTGAGTACATGTGTTTTATTCCTCTGAATATCTCATTGTCTTCGACTCTTATCATCTCTCTTTGCTCTTCTCGTGTATTTTTTCAGCAACAACGAATGCCGGTAGAGTCCACTCTATAAATAACAATCAACCATTTGTCATCGTGCTTGATGCTTTGCAGCGGCATGGAATGGATGAATATCAGCACTGTGCTGCGTTCGAGCTTGCATTCTTGAAGCTGAGTCAAGGGGTGCGTTTTCAACTATTTTCAAGCAGAATATTGTATATTCTGTCGAGGCAGCTTCCAGAACAGTCTCATCAGGAGAACAGTGATGATATTAATCTTTCATAGATCGTTGCAAGCACGATGACAAGTGATTGAATGTTATTTATCAAAGTAAACTCTGCAACCGTGCCTCACTTTTTTATGAGAATGCGTGAAAACTCTAATGGAAAGTGATAAGAATTAGAGACAGTGACATATTGAATAGAACAAACCAAGAGCTGCGAGAATTTGTATGATAGATGAAGTCTGGTACAAAAAGGATATCATTGAATGGAAGGAAAAGGAACAAGATCTGACAGAAATTATTGTCGGCAACAAAAGAATTCGGAAAGACGACATGATCTACTGACGCGTTTTACCTACTGTTTGAAAGTTTCGAAAATAGAAATCAATATTGTCATCCAACGGATTGCAAAGTTTGAAGATACAGTCATATCGAAGGAATATGTATAGAGGAAAAAACTATTTAGAAACGAACACATGTGTAGTGTGAGAAATCAGATGAGAAAGAGAAACATGTTGAGTGTAGATGGGAATAGACACTCGATCTCAATAAATACACATAGAAAGATCACTTTATATTTAGGGAGGCAACGGTAAGAAAAAGGTGAAGCCGGTGAAGTGCCACTGCTAGATTACCTTAGTAGAGAGGTGTTTCAATAATAGAGAAAAAAACGGCCTTCGCTGTAAGTTCTTTGTAAGTTTACCGGTCTTAATGGTGATCTTGAAAGTGTATCCCTATCTAAATCTCTTAAAATGAAAGCCTTCCTTCAATGTCCGCCATTTCTGCTTACTTCAGTTATCTTGCAAAAAAAAAAAAATAAAAGACCGCCGAAAGCAAAGTAAAAGTAAAAATACTCGGCTATTTAAATCAAATGAGACTCGAATTTCGAAGATTTCACTGTTATCTTAGCATGTATCAACAAATAAGTTTCATACAACGAAGAAATCTTTCTAGGCTGCCTATAACAAGAGATAAGAGACACGTATCTAGTAACTAACTAAACGACGCACGAACATGATTAGATCTACTCAAAGTGAAGACACAACTGTTTCGTCGAAACAACAGCAAAAAGCGAGACCACGTGATACAGTGCACAACTATCTTATCGAACACGTAGCAATGTAGCACGAAGATAAGTAATTGAGGGATGTGCTTTGTCAGTATCATAATCAAGAGGGTGCGGGTGTGGGGTGTGCTTGTGAGTTTAGATGTTGGATGTTGGTGTGATTGTAGGTGTTGATCTTTAGTGTAGTCACACTCACGCCCGCGCCCCACCTTCAAAAGAAAGAACGAAGTAGCAAATAAGATCATCATCAATCAAAAATTAATTGTTGTAACCCATTAAAATGATGGTCTGAGTTGTCAATACGAAAAATATAGAAATTCTCGTTTCATTTTGCCAACATTTTGAAAATGCATTGGGAACATATTTTGTCAAATTACTTGAAAATTTCGAAATAATATTGTTTGTTCGAATAATTCTTCTGAATTTGATTCGGGTGTGGATGTGGGTGTGGGTGCATGGTGTGAGCGTGGGTGTGAGTGACAAGCTGATCCACAGTCACAGTCGCAGCCACACACCCATACTCACATTTTATTAATTTTTTCTTAAACGGGTCGTGGCTACTAAATTATTTTTTAACTAAAAACTATTTTGAACAACTTTTTTCATTATAATTCTTCTTGTAGTACTGTGAAAGGCTCTGAGGAAACTATAGTTTAGGGTGTAGATGTGGATAGTGTGGGTCGGGTTGGGACGATGCTGGTGGTTTTCTTTTATTCAGTCACACCCACATCCTCACACCCACATCCTCACACCCACATACTCACACATCCACATCCTTCCTTCAAGTTTTTTCCTTGTGTTTTTAGTCAATCACTATCATCTCATCGCATCATCATTCAATATTGATAAGTGAGTAACTTTTTTCGCTGTGTTTCATTTGAGATCAGATCCGTTAGGGAGAGCTACAGAAATGTGATTCATGTCCATTGAGGTTAGGATTTTCGTGTTTTAAGAAGGACTTTCTAGTAGTATCTAAAAGCTCCATCAGGAACTACCATTGTATCCATAGCACACGATCGAGCCCAATTAGGCTCATTGATACATGGCCTTTTGTGGATGAGGGTGTGAATGAGCATTACGTTCGACATAGTTTCATTCAGGTGGCTCCTGGCCGCGCACGCGTACGAAAATAAAATAACGTTCGAATCATTTTTCATTCAAAAGCGTTTTTATTTGTAAAAGAAAATGAAAAGAAAACATCATGGTCTTAAGTTCATTTAATATCAAATTTTTGTATTCGATCATTCCACCGCTCGACGACATAGAGATTGCCATGTAGATCGAATCATAAACCCCTGGGACCATGGAATTGATTCGATTATGCTCCTGTATCGTTCCCATCATCAATGACACATCCTTGTGTGGCTCCTTTTCGCCAACGCATGATTCGATGATTCTCATGATCAGTCACATAGACAGTGCCCAATTGATCGGCAACGGCTCCTTGAGGATATGACAATTGTGTAAGACTATTTCCTTTTCCTTGACCACCGGCTACCATAATACCTTGTGTTGCATCTTCTTTCCATTTCATTACACGATGATTGTTCACATCAGATACATAAACTGAATGATCTCGGTCGACAAATACGTAGCGAGGAACAGAGAATTAACCGAGACGATCTCTTGGTCCATTGCCACCTCCATCTACTGATCCTGTAGTGTCACCAATTCTATATCGTCTCACTTCATGTTTTCCATAGTCGACACTATAGAGAGAATCATAGTCGTCCATTGTCAAACCAAAGCAAGCAATATCTGAAATAATTGTTTCTCCACAAATACCATTTTGACGAGGCCATCGAACTACTCTGGTATTCTCTGGATCGTTGGTGATTAGACTATCACTTTCTTTGTCGATAATCACTTCATGTGGGTTAATTAATTGATGAGCTTCATTTTCTTCATTTCCATCAACTACCACTGTGGCATTCGTCGCACCAAATTTTCATTCCACAATACGGTTATTTAACCAATCAGCGACATAAATCGTTTGATCATCATCGATGTACAAACCCAATGGCTCGCTGAGTTGATTGATCTCACTGCTCCATCCATTTCCACCAGCAATAGTGATCTCATTCTTTGACCATATTGCATTCGGGTGAATATCAGTAGTACTTGCACGTAATGGTACTACAATGAAACAAAAACATGGAGCACAAATAAACATTGATTTCATGGAAAATAAGTTTTTCATTTTGCTAAGAAACTCATGAGATATATTTTCAAAACTATCAAAATGTGAACGAAATTTTTTTTTTTTGAGATCCAATTTTTTCAACATATTTATTAAAATCGACAATGGTGCCCTAGTTTTATTATCAGTCAGCAATGATTATGATCTAATGCTAACGAATCTCGATAAAACGCATATTCGAAGACATAAGTGATGTTATTTCAAGAAGTTCTTTCTTATTGTTATCAAGCTTGTTAAATTCAAATTTTAGAAGTCAGGTGAAAAATCAGTAAAGTTTTTCTTTGAATTTTAAGAGCTATTTTATGATTGTTATCTAATCAGGTTCAACTTCTCTCTTATGTATACTCTTTCATTAAAAAGGATAAATTGGAACAGAAAGAAACATACATCCAATTTACTAAAGTTATACTAATGAGTAGATGCTGAAAAAAAATAGGAGAAAATACCTGATATCTTCAGAGAAAACAATTAAAGTTATAAAGAAAGACGAAATACAACCTAAAATCTCCGTGCAGAAAAGGTCTTGTTTACTTGAAAGATAATTATAAAATTGTGAACAATGAATGAGTATCCAATGTTATTTTTAATTCATTCTGTTTCAATTATTATTACATGAATATTTTATGCGATTAAAAACGGGTTCACTGCTAAATCTCCACACATTCTCCTTAGATAATTTATCAGTAGGTTTAGTAATCCTGACTAGTCCAAGCAAGGAGCCTAGCAAGATCAATATGTTATACTTTTCGTTCAGTCACTGTTCACTATGGTGACGATTCAACTGTACTTTTCACGAAAAAACAGTCCTTTCAGTAAAATACGCTAATGAAAGAGATGAAGGAATACTAATTAACCTTTCTAAGCATGTAAAGCCTTATCTAACAAAAATAAGTGAAATAATATACACCAAACTGGATGTGGATGGGGATGTAGAGACTTTCGATATTTTTCAATTTTCACTTACCCTGGAAAGATTTTCGGTTTCAGTGCTAATCATTTCTATGTCGCAGAAAGATTTCACACTCGCTGTTAAAGTTCCCCTCATTCTTTTTCGTAGATAAACTGTCGAAGCATAAAAACATTATCTTCAGTGTTTATCTTCTCAAATAACGGATTACATTGTATCAATAATTAGATCTCAGTATTCAAAATCACACAAGGATCATAAATAGAATAGGATCAAACGTAGGACGTTAAACACCTAAAATGTGGAGAGAACTCTACAAGAAAGAACCATTCAACTCAATAAGTGTGTGTAATGTATATGGGCGAATACAGTCGATAGATTTCTGAGGGAGAAAAGATATCAGCATATTAGATAAACGAAAGTCTATCTTGGACATGGATTTCATTTTTCTCTGGATTATTCGTAACTAATATTCTAGTCACATATCCATTATACGGATGACGTTTCAAAAGTTTGAACACCTTCTTAGGAGCCACAATCGTAACTCACTAACCAGGATGCATTAATGAAAATACGATTTTTCAAAAAATTTCACTAAAAATAATTTTCAACTTGGTTGAATTTTGTATATATGAAATGGATCGTGCGTTCGTTAAAGGACTCTTATGTTACTTGTGCATTAGGGGTGTCAGTTTTGCGTTCCGTTCCTAGGAACGGGAACGCGGTGGCGTTCCCCATTCCTAGGAACGGGGAACGCAATGGCGTTCCCGTTCCCAGGA